GGGCAAGAAGTCATGGGATGAGGGACGCTCCATTGGAGGGTGACTGGATCAGCCAACAGGCACCATTGTAGTGGTGGGCAGTGCTGGAGGCGGAGTTCTGCTTTGGCCACCGCCCCCCCCTGGCTGCTGTCAGCTTTCTCCAACTCCTTTGCACACAGGTCTGGTTGAATGTCAGCCGTCCAATCAATGATGACATAAAGTTGTATCTTCCGATAGAACTCATCAATAATACAACATGAAGGTCAGAGTTCTATATACAAGCCGGGCCATTTCCTGGAGGTGATATTAGCCCCTTACATACCCCCCATACAGCACATGACCAGAGGCATGCTGATAGGAGGAGAGAGCAGAATGACAGAGAGATGGGTTCATCACTGTGCTGCTTCTCCTCTCACTGTCCAGTCATAGGCCGGGGGCCTTTAAAGAAGCCAATTGATTTGCCATTCTGTTAGGCCAGTCCTAAAATCCAAATGGCACAGCAGGGACGGTGGCAACTGCTGCCAGCCTCAACCTTCCACATCATGAGGAGGCTGGAACCATGGCATAGCGTTGTCACCCCCCCCCAGGAAGTGCACAGGATGACAACCCCTCTGGCTGATAAGTCAGTTCACAGATATAAGTATCTACCGGATGCTGATAAAATAGCTCACCCAGCTCCGCAGTACACCTCCCCTCATCGAACGCCACACAGTTACCATGGTGACACCTCACCGCGCACCGCCCAGTTACCATGGTGACACTCACACGCCTCATTCAGCACACGCAGCACGCCAATGCCGTTTGCAGTCACGTGCGCATGACATTTGGGCGGGACTGTTATCAGACACCAATCGGCTTCCTTTCTAGATGCTGAGCGACACGCCCTGGATTTTTGTTACGCGCTGCTGTGCAGGGTCTCCGCTAGGTCCCGCCCCCGATGCGGCATTGGCTGGAAGTGAAGCGGACTCTGGTCACGTGACGGGGAAGTGTTAGAGAATTGTCCCTGCCGGGGAGTCGTACAGGGTGAGGGGCGGAGGGAGGAAGTGTCATGGTGTCCAAGGTGAGTGCTGGCTGTGAGAGCTGTGACATGACACATTCCCCCCCCCAGCACAGTTCTGTCACCTGACCCACACGGTGCTCCCCAATGTTCTGTCACCTGACCTCAAACGATCATTGGTTCCCCTGACCCCCTTTCCCTAATGTCCTGTCACCCTTATGTCCCCCATACTGCCCTTCCTCCACTGCCCTGGCACCTCATCTCCAGCCTTCCCCAGAACCCTACACTGCCCCTCCCCCAATATCCTGTCACCTGACCTTGCACCCCTTCTCTAGCACCACATGGGACCCCATACTGCCCTCCCCCCTCTATGATGGTTAGAGTTGACTACCCCTGCTTTAAAGTGACCCTGTCAGGTCTGTAAATACACTATATTGCCAAAAGTATTGGGCCCTCCTTGCATATCATGTGATCCAGGTCCTCCAATCCCCTCCATGGCCCCCGGTGTATAGGATGAGGCACCTCGGCATGCAGACGCTTCTACAGACATCGGTGAGAGAACCGGTCGCTCTCAGGAGCTCGGTGACTACAAGCGTGGTACCGTGATGGGTTGTCACCTGCGCAATAAGTCCGTCCGTGACATTTCCCGGCTACTAAATATTCCGCCGCGGTCGCCTGTTACTGGGATTATAACAAAGTGGTGGTGACTGGGAACACCAGCAACTCAGCCAGGAAGTGGTCGGCCACGTCACATGACAGAGCGGGGTCAGCGCACGCTGAAGCGCACAGTGCGCAGAAGTCACCAACTGTCTGCAGAGCCAATAGCTACAGACCTCCAAACTCCATGCGGCCGTCAGATTGGCACAACAACAGTGCGTAGAGAGCTTCATGGAATGGGTTTCCATGGCCGAGCAGCTGCATCCAAGCCTTACATCACCAAGTGCAATGCAAAGCGTGGGATGCCGTGGTGTAAAGCACGCCGCCACTGGACTCTAGAGAAGTGGAGACGTGTTCTCTGGAGTGACCAATCACGCTTCTCTGTCTGGCAATCCGATGGACGTGTCTGGGTTTGGCGGTTGCCAGGAGAACGGTACTTGCCTGACTGCATTGTGCCAAGTGTAAAGTTTGGTGGAGGGGGGATTATGGTGTGGGGTTGTTTTTCAGGGGTTGGGCTTGGCCCCTTAGTTCCAGTGAAGGGAACTCTTAAGGCATCAGCACACCAAGACATTTTGGACAATTTCATGCTCCCAGCTTTGTGGGAGGAGTTTGGGGACGGCCCCTTCCTGTCCCAACATGACTGCGCACCAGTGCGCAAAGCAAGGTCCATAAAGACACGGATGGGGGAGTTTGGGGCGGAGGAACGTGACTGGCCGCACAGAGTCCTGACCTCAACCCCATAGAACACCTTTGGGATGAATTAGAGCGGAGACTGCGAGCCCCTCCCCCAACATCAGTACCTGACCTCACAAATGGTCCAACATTCCCATAGACACACTCCTAAACCTTGTGGACGCCTTCCCAGAAGAGGCGGAGCTGTTATAGCAGCAAAGGGCGGAGCCAAACCAATACTGAACTTTACGGACTAAGACTGGGGGGCCATTAGAGTTCATGTGCGTGTAAAGGCGTCCCAATACTTCTGGTAATATAGTGTATATTAAACCGGCCAATACTCTGCAGAAACAGAGGGACTCACGTGTCCCCAACCTCCCCTCCGTCCCAGCTCTACAGCTTCCATCGGTGTCCCCTGTGATCCCATCCCCCGACATAACTGTGGAGAATGTATAAAGGATAAAAACATCACAAAGCTTCAATGAGTCCAGGAAATGTTTCATTCTCATGACGAGAGTTCAGAACAGAAAGCCAACGCATTTCGG